TTATACCCACCAAACTTTATATTAGATGGAATAATAAAAAATACCCTGATACCACTGGGGTTCGAACTAGCGACCCTGTGGTCTTTAGCCGGTCACTCATCTGCTGGACTAAAAGGAAATTCCTACTACTTATGGCTATTAAGGCATCCTGTTCTATCAACTTATACACAAACTTAGGTTTTCAGGTTTACAAGCTAAAGCTCAGAATTATGGTCCTTGTTTATAAACTTTGGTTTGTGTGTCAAGTCTTTTAAGTGTTAACTTAGAGTTTGCTGTAATCTTCTGTTTGTGTCTGGTTTGTTGAGAGTTATTTCCCTTGGTTTTGTGTTTTACATTGGTGATTCTGTGTGACCTTTATATACTTAGGTACCCCAGAGATAGTTGTGTTTGGATGCTATGATACAGTTCTTTGTATGTCATTGATGCTGATGGCCACTTTCATGGATCACTGGTATGGGAGTAGTCACGCTGATTGATTGTCCTTTCAGCTGTATGTTATAGGGAAAACACTTCTATTGTATCTGTATGGGCCATTAATCCGAATTAAGACAACATTTAAATGGCAGTGAATAGCTGGAAAGGCTTTTACTTTGGGATAAGTAACAAATGATATCTCTGAATATTTGTCATTCTGAACCATCTTTATCTGCTATTGATATTTGTGATAGCTGTTAAGGTCCAGAATCTATTGAAGAAGGAAAGACTAGAGAGTTATATTACAGTTGTTTGTGCTTTAATTCTGTATATTCAGCCAGAATGTGTGACAGATGTACCTGTAAATAACACTTGCTCTTAGTGCATAGCTGTGTTTGTAAAAATAAAAATTGATTTATGTAGAATTACACTGGTATAAGAAGTGGTAGTTATTGTGTATGTACTAATATTTACACAAATACATGTGTTTAGTTATACTTTCACTGGAGTTTACCTCATACATAGACAGCACAGTGATTGTCACAACCCCAAAGATCAAGGCTGATATATATACCTTGTCTGATAGGTAGTAAACAAATCAGTAGTGTTTGTGAGTTGATGGCAGAAAGTCTAGTTAGTATGTACAACCTGTATTCTTTTGAATTTTTTTTTTCTTATTGAATAAATATGTTTTGATATTACTTTGTGTTTGTAATTTTCAACTTTGAATAGGGCCTATAACCACAATGTGAATGTATGGTTGTGAGTATAGAATCCAGATACAGGTATCAATTGTTAATAATAATTCATTAATCAATACTACCTGAACTCATGCTGATAAAGAAAGTTTGTTTTTGTTACGGGGAAAATCTGGCATGGTGCCAAATACCAAGGGAGGTAACTTAGTGCTGCCTGTTGTTTACCTACAGAATAACCATGTACTCAATACAAAGATATCCACTGTAAAGAAATAAACCAAAGGTTTTAAAAGTCTTTCAATACTTGTAAAATCCATCAATATGGCCTTATAAACTTCATACCATTTCATTTTATAGATTTACAACATAAAAACAACACATGCTAGGGTATGAAATGTAGAAAAAAACTGACAGAGCAAGCAAAATTGATAATAGCAATCACTGTCAAAGTGAGATCGTTTTTGCTTTAGGCATAAATTTGATCAATTTTCAGCTTTTGTATATAGTAGTAATGGTAGCAGAACAGACTGATATCTTCTAACTGAGCAAGAAATCATCAAAATTATATGTTTAGAAATTAAAATCAACATACATTTTAAAGTATGCTGCTGTATGGACTGTGCTTTGTATCAAATTATATCAATGTGATTTAGACAAGGTCAGTGTTAGAAATGTCACTAAAATCAGATTAGTGTTGTCTAACAACAGAAATTTCAGATCATACTTCATAAATAATAACCTAAATTACCTGAGGAATAGTGTTTATCTACTGGTTATACCTAAATAAGGTGAGGAATAGTGTTTATCTGTCTGCTGGTTATACCTAAATAAGGTGAGGAATAGTGTTTATCTGTCTGCTGGTTATACCTAAATAAGGTGAGGAATAGTGTTTATCTACTGGTTATACCTAAATAAGGTGAGGAATAGTGTTTATCTGTCTGCTGGTTATACCGAAATAAGGTGAGGAATAGTGTTTATCTACTGGTTATACCTAAATAAGGTGAGGAATAGTGTTTATCTACTGGTTATACCTAAATAAGGTGAGGAATAGTGTTTATCTACGGGTTATACCTAAATAAGGTGAGGAATAGTGTTTATCTACTGGTTATACCTAAATAAGGTGAGGAATAGTGTTTATCTACTGGTTATACCTAAATAAGGTGAGGAATAGTGTTTATATGGTTATACCTAAATAAGGTGAGGAATAGTGTTTATCTACTGGTTATTAGTGTTTATCTGCTGGTTATACCTAAATAAGGTGAGGAATAGTGTTTATCTACTGGTTATACCTAAATAAGGTGAGGAATAGTGTTAATCTCTCTGCTGGTTATACCTAAATAAGGTGAGGAATATGGTTATACCTAAATAAGGTGAGGAATAGTGTTTATCTACTGGTTATACCTAAATAAGGTGAGGAATAGTGTTTATCTACTGGTTATACCTAAATAAGGTGAGGAATAGTGTTTATCTGTCTGCTGGTTATACCTAAATAAGGTGAGGAATAGTGTTTATCTACTGGTTATACCTAAATAAGGTGAGGAATAGTGTTTATCTGGTTATACCTAAATAAGGTGAGTGTTTATCTGTCTACTGGTTATACCTAAATAAGGTGAGGAATAGTGTTTATATATCTGCTGGTTATACCTAAATAAGGTGAGGAATAGTGTTTATCTACTGGTTATACCTAAATAAGGTGAGGAATAGTGTTTATATATCTGCTGGTTATACCTAAATAAGGTGAGGAATAGTGTTTATCTGTCTGCTGGTTATACCTAAATAAGGTGAGGAATAGTGTTTATCTACTGGTTATACCTAAATAAGGTGAGGAATAGTGTTTATCTACTGGTTATACCTAAATAAGGTGAGGAATAGTGTTTATATATCTGCTGGTTATACCTAAATAAGGTGAGGAATAGTGTTTAACTGGTTATACCTAAATAAGGTGAGGAATAGTGTTTATCTGTCTGCTGGTTATACCTAAATAAGGTGAGGAATAGTGTTTATGTATCTGCTGGTTATACCTAAATAAGGTGAGGAATAGTGTTTATCTGTCTGCTGGTTATACCTAAATAAGGTGAGGAATAGTGTTTATCTGTCTGCTGGTTATACCTAAATAAGGTGAGGAATAGTGTTTATCTACTGGTTATACCTAAATAAGGTGAGGAATAGTGTTTATCTGTCTGCTGGTTATACCTAAATAAGGTGAGGAATAGTGTTTATCTGTCTGCTGGTTATACCTAAATAAGGTGAGGAATAGTGTTTATCTACTGGTTATACCTAAATAAGGTGAGGAATAGTGTTAATGTATCTGCTGGTTATACCTAAATAAGGTGAGGAATAGTGTTTATCTGCTGGTTATACCTAAATAAGGTGAGGAATAGTGTTTATCTGTCTGCTGGTTATACCTAAATAAGGTGAGGAATAGTGTTTATCTACTGGTTATACCTAAATAAGGTGAGGAATAGTGTTTATCTACTGGTTATACCTAAATAAGGTGAGGAATAGTGTTTATCTACTGGTTATACCTAAATAAGGTGAGGAATAGTGTTTATATATCTGCTGGTTATACCTAAATAAGGTGAGGAATAGTGTTTATCTACTGGTTATACCTAAATAAGGTGAGGAATAGTGTTTATCTACTGGTTATACCTAAATAAGGTGAGGAATAGTGTTACCTAAATAAGGTGAGGAATAGTGTTATATCTCTGGTTATACCTAAATAAGGTGAGGAATAAGGTGAGGAATAGTGTTTATCTGTCTGGTTATACCTAAATAAGGTGAGGAATAGTGTTTATCTACTGGTTATACCTAAATAAGGTGAGGAATAGTGTTAATAGTGTTTATCTGCTGGTTATACCTAAATAAGGTGAGGAATAGTGTTTATCTGTCTGCTGGTTATACCTAAATAAGGTGAGGAATAGTGTTTATCTACTGGTTATACCTAAATAAGGTGAGGAATAGTGTTTATCTACTGGTTATACCTAAATAAGGTGAGGAATAGTGTTTATCTACTGGTTATACCTAAATAAGGTGAGGAATAGTGTTAATGTATCTACTGGTTATACCTAAATAAGGTGAGGAATAGTGTTTATCTACTGGTTATACCTAAATAAGGTGAGGAATAGTGTTTATCTGTCTGCTGGTTATACCTAAATAAGGTGAGGAATAGTGTTTATCTGTCCGCTGGTTATACCTAAATAAGGTGAGGAATAGTGTTAATGTATCTGCTGGTTATACCTAAATAAGGTGAGGAATAGTGTTTATCTACTGGTTATACCTAAATAAGGTGAGGAATAGTGTTTATCTGCTGGTTATACCTAAATAAGGTGTATTGTCTGCTGGTTATACCTAAATAAGGTGAGGAATAGTGTTTACTGGTTATCTACTGGTTATACCTAAATAAGGTGAGGAATAGTGTTTATCTACTGGTTATACCTAAATAAGGTGAGGAATAGTGTTTATCTGTATCTGCTGGTCCTAAATAAGGTGAGGAATAGTGTTTATCTACTGGTTATACCTAAATAAGGTGAGGAATAGTGTTAATGTATCTGCTGGTTATACCTAAATAAGGTGAGGAATAGTGTTTATCTACTGGTTATACCTAAATAAGGTGAGGAATAGTGTTTATCTACTGGTTATACCTAAATAAGGTGAGGAATAGTGTTTATATATCTGCTGGTTATACCTAAATAAGGTGAGGAATAGTGTTTATCTACTGGTTATACCTAAATGAGGTGAGGAATTGTGTTTATATATCTGCTGGTTATACCTAAATAAAGTGAGGAATAGTGTTAGTTTGTCTGCAGCTAATTTCTGTCTTTATTTTAGAGAATTAGTTTGCTAACGATGACTTTATAATGAATAGAACCTAATTCTGTGTCGTTCTAGATCACCTTCCAAAAGAAGAAGAGTTTGTAGCAGGCAGTCCTCCACAAGATGAATTCATTAGTGATAACTTTCAAGAAAATGACGTCAACGATGATGATCTCCGGAAAGAAATGCAGCTCCTCGGTGTTGATGAAATTACAGGAGACAAAAATATCCAAGAAGAAGGTGAGTAGAATGGTGTCTAATACTTTTAATCATACCAAACATGCAGTTATCACAGACAGTTAAATAGCTTTATGATGAATGATTTGTATCAGTTCACTGTGGACTGTTGATTCGTGGATAGTTAACATAATGACATAACATATAATTATACACTTTGATCTTTTTTACTGTAAAAAAACTGGAGTTTGTGCTTAACATGAGGACTTTTTGATAACTTGTCTTTAATTAGAAATGGAATTCCTGAGAGACTTAGGTGTCTAGATTGATCAGAAGGAAATTGGTTTGTTTGACAAGGAAGACATCTGTTCTGTTCCTTTATATAGTATTGGCTTTGTGTTTTATATCTGTTTATGGAGCATATCTGTCAGACACTGGTTCAGAATTACACTTCAGAGTTGGTACATAGGACTAATTATACAACCTAGGAACAGGGCAACGTCTCTATCTGACCTTTGAACCTAATCTCAACACATGAAATAAAGGTTTCATGAGCATGGTATATTTACTGGATGTAATCATTAGTTTTGGTTTGAAGTTAGGGAATGACTTGTGTGACATACCAAACTAAAGATGTCAAGAACTATTGTAACTATTGACATTTGACCTTAGATTTAGAAATACAATTTTCTACATCGTGCTTCAGCCATTTGTGTCATGTATGGATTGGTAGGAAAAGGCATGCAATGTTAATTTGTCTGATACCAAACTTTACCAAAACTGGATAACAGTGCATAACCATTAGTTGACCTTGTACATTAATTGACCTCTGAAGACATTATTGTTAATAGTCATTCTCTGACCATTTTCACAATGAAATATAAGGTTTTACAATTGAAATACCAGTGATATTATCACAACGTCAAAATAACAAATTTTGATATTTTCTCTAATTTTTTACCAATCAGATCACAGCATTTGCAGTGTATCAATGTTACTAGAGTGCATTAATGTACACTACAGGAACAACAACTGTGGTTTAGCTAGCTCTGTAAAATGACAGAAAACTCTCAGTGTACTGCAATTAATTTGTCATATTTAATCCAAATATATTTACTTTATATTAACTATCTTACTGTCTTTGATGTAAAACTATATTATCAGACAGAGTAATGATGAATAGGGCACTGTACATATAGACATAGCTGGTTTATTCAAACTTACCCCAATACAAGGTGCTTTCTGATGAATAGCAGTTTTGTTTTTCGACTGGTGAGGTATAAGCTTTGGTATTTTATCAAAGTTTCTACTTCTCTCAATGAAATATGACTGTTATTTGTCAAGAAACAAAGAATATCACTATTGCTATTGGCCTGGATAAATGTGATTCACAGGTGGTGTTCAGAGACTGCCTCTTATGTAATGGTTGATAAACAACATGCTGAAATTCACATGAATATTTCAATGATTAGTTTTAAAGACTTGTTTCTGTGAATGATAAAGAGAAATAAACTTTGATGTCCAACAACTCATCAGAAAGTTGCCAACCTTTGATAAAGAGCATCTATAGCTGATTCTGTTGGGTTCAAACACTATAAAGTCCCTGACTCCCAAGGGGACAAGTGGCTAAAAGGGGCAGTTATCTGTGTCACAACATAAGGTACATTCCTAGGGAATGGAGATTCAGATCTGTCATTTTACTGTACATAGGAAGGCTTAGACATTGCAGGACCAAAAGTGGTCATTTTGCCAGTGTTACAGGACAAAGTCCTCGAGGACTACTTTGTTGTCCTGTGATGAAGTTTGTCCTGTTTTACAAAACTTTACATATTATTGGTTACATATTATACCTATACATATCCTAGGTTAGAACTAAAGGTTAAATAAGGTTACAGTTCATGTTTTGTAATGGTACCTACTCAATATGTAGTACCGCACTAAAGCAATACTGATCAAATCAGAAACTAGTGACACAGGCCTACTGGACCTCTTGTTTAGTTATTGGTACACTGACACTTGACCAATGGTAAGAATTTTGGAAAAGGCAATGATTTCTGAACCCTTTGTTTTGCTGCGGTTTGTACCTTTTCAGTATATATATAAAGCGATACTTTCTAACAGACCACAATGATAAAGTCAGCTGACCTTTGTTTAGTGTTTATTTAGCTTCATTTCACGCTTTTCATTCTGATCAATATTTCATTCTAACTACAACAATGTTTCTCTAGGGAAAGCCTTTATTGCTGCCCCAAATGTACCCAAAAAATAACTGAAAAGTAACATGTTTTATTTTTCACTAAAATTTATGTGATATATTTATGCTGTAGTCACCCCGAGCTGTCACATGTTAATTTGACACCAGTCATAGTCTGCTGACCAACTGTTCAGATTACATAATCACATTGGAAATTACCCCCTCGGGGCAGGAAACTGCTCTTAAAAAACGGGCTGATCCCATTACTGTTTACATATCAAAACAACCTGCATTAGGTAACCTAATCTGTGTATGATCACTGCAGCCTTGACCGTTTCATTGGATTACTGCCATTCAACATCAACATTAGATATGTCTACCCACCTGGAGTTATAAATAACCAAAAACTTGTCGGAATAGTTTAACGAATACAGGGAAGAAAGGAAACCATTGTTTAATGTAAAATATTCTTAAGTATACACTATTGATAATCTGTATACACACTGTACAAATATGTTCATTGATATCTTACACAAATATAGACAGTCTGGATAGCATCACTAATTTTTACATTCATTAAATAACAATGAATTAGTTTATAATCAAAATATTTCAGTGTTGAATCAGATCCTGGAGAATTCTGATGTACACAAACAAAATTTCTGGAAATAAAATCTGTGTGATGACAAGGTTTAGACATATCAAAAGATGTGTAATTTTAATTAACATAAAAAGTACACTTTGATCTATGGATCCTCCATCTTTCAAGTTACCAAAATGGTTTTCTGTTTTGTTTAAAAACCATCGCATTGATTAATTGGTTTACCTGACTGTATGGAATGGCTAACAGTCAAGGTTAACCTTTAATGGTTCACAATGTCTAGTTTACGTTTGTGTTGTCAGTCTGATTAAAACCAGATTGCTTCTTTAAACTTAAGTATTTTTAGAGGATATCACAGCTGGATCGTGTTATTGTCAGGATGTATAAAAGCTGTAAACATGTATTAATAAAAGTTTGTTTTCCTAATTCTACTATAATCAGAAATCTCCTCACTTGTTATATTCTCAGGGCAGCATATACTTACAAATTCACAAGGAAATAATTGGTATTGTGTGATAAAACATTCTGATGAATATTTAGTGTTTTGAACAAATGTACTGGCCATTCTTTGTGTAAAAATTAGAATAAAGAAGATGTCATTCCTCTGATAACAATCCTTATTTGTTAAAATGTGTGACCTTGAGTGGAAAAAACACACTGACCTAGCTAGCAAACTTGGTTAGGAATGCTTGAGCACCTGCTGGATACAGGAGTATGTGTTTTAGGTCACCTGAGACTTAGGGTGACCTTTTGCGACCCCCTTTTGACCGGCATCATGTGTTGTGAACGTTAACATTTTCGACTTCTTCTGGGAAACTCCGGAACTGATTTCAGTGAAATTTTACAAATTTTTCAAGGCACACCAAAATTGTAAAATGGTACCCAACCCTAAGGGGCTTGAGGCAGGGTCAAAAAGGGTCATATGATTGAAATTTTGAAAATCTTCTTTTCAAATCCCAGGTATGGTAGAATCAAGTACTCTCCATGGATGGAAAGGCCTTCAGATGCTTTACCAAGATTGTAAATTGCATGACCCTAGGGTGTCACATTTTGCGTAGAGAGGGAGGAAAATCACATCTTTAGTCCACCATCTAATAGATGGTGGGTTATTCAAATCACCCTGCGTCCGTGGTCCGTCATCCGTCCATCGTCCGTCGTCCATCCGTCGTAAACAATTCTTGTGACCGCTATTTCTGGAAAAGTGCTGGATGGATCTTTCTCAAATTTCACATGCAGGTTCCCCTTGGTCCCTAGTTGTGCATTGTACCTTTTTTTGACTGATTTGAATTCAAGATGGCTGACAGGCAGCCATCTTGGATTTTGGAAGTAAAAGTTTGTTACTGCTATTTCTTGGAGAGTACTGGATGGATCTTTCTCAAATTTCATATGCAGTTTCCCCTTGGTCCCTAGTTGTGCATTGTACCTTTTTTGGACTGATTTGAAATCAAGGTGGCCCACAGGCAGCCATCTTGGATGTCGACAGTAATACAGCACAAGCATATTTTCCATTATCCACCTGTAACTGACTGCTATCTAATAATACTTTGGGATCTTTTTCAAATGATATTTGCTAATAGGTGCTCAATAAAAATATCTTGTGCCATCATTGAGTACATTCAATGAAGACCAGTTCATGAACATTTACAACACTTGTAACAAACAAAAAAAAATAAACAAATCTTCAAGAACTGAAAACAGATCCTCAAATGGTGGGCGCCAAGATCCCTCTGGGATCTCTTGTTTAATATTATTTGTTCATAGTTAAAACCTAAAGATAACAGGTTTTAAGATGTACACATTGACCTCGACTGACCCCAAGGACTGTTGGGCAGGGCCAAAAATGGGTCAAATTGACTTGAATTTCAAACATCTTCTTCTCATTACCTAGATAATATACAACTGAATAACCTTCATGGATGGAAGTGTTTTACAGAGTTTTATGAAAATATCAATTTCATGACTCCAGGGTCTCACATTTCTATGTACGAAGCGGGTAAAATTTACCGTATTATATGTAGGAAAATGACATTTTTAAACATAATTTGTTTATTTTCTTTCGGAAATAGTTTAAACTTGGATTGTGATGTACAAACTGACCTTGACTAACAACCAGGAGCTGATGGACATGGTCAAAAATGGGTCAAACTGACTGCAATTGCAAAGATATTCTACAGTTCCTGGATAGGAAAATTAAAATCTTGAGTGTAATTTCTTTTAATTCAAACTTTGTTAGAAGCCTTAGCATAGGACGGCAGTTAATGTATACAC